CAATTCTAGTGTAAACGATGTTATCATTATTCCTTGAAGTTAGCTTTCTTACAAATATTTGATTTTCCTTTAAAAAAAGTTTAAGTACATGGTGAAACAGGAATTACCAGCCAATAAACAATAAGTAGATAAACAATAAATATTACAGTTGGAACCTTATTGTATTTAGAACTTGGTTATAAATACAACCTTCCTATGTCTATTGAAACACTGCATTAAAAAAAGTAAAAAAAAACAAACTTTTTTTTATAAAAAATGAAGTAAATGTAGGGACGACTAATATTAATCCACATAATAGCACAGATACACAGTGCAATAGAATGTTAACAGACAAAAATAGGATAAATTAAACTCAATTGTTATTGAATAGTTATATATATATTTCTATACGTTAATTCTTGCCTGTACTATTATGTAGGGATGATGGTAATGTCATCTCTACTGACTTGTTTGTATTGTTTTTGAAGGATTAATATTAGCCGTCCTTACATTTGAAAAGTTTTTCTTTACTTGTTTTTACATTAATTATCAGTTTATAAAATTTCGATTCTGTGTCTATCATATTTCCTCCTATTCCAGTTCTATACATAACATTAGATATCTTGTTTCTCTTAATTAAGTCAAAAATTGCTTTCAGATCTATGAAGAGTGCATACAATTTCTCTCTTTTTATTTCTCCAACTGTTTTGCTTTAATGTTTATAAACATTAGCTATTGTCACGTTCCTCTCCTAAGCCTGCTTCGCATTCTGTGAGAATGTTCTTTTCCTCAATACAATTAATAATTCTTTCTTCCAAGATGCACAGTGGCCCGGCGGTAAGTCTGCAGGATTACGACGCTAAAATTCGTGTGTCGATATCCGTAGTGAGCAGAGCAAGGATAGCCCATTGTGTAGCTTTGTGCCTAACAATAACCAAACCAATTCTTCCAAGATTAAAGCGTATATATTATAACTTGTATTCAACAATGATTGAAGCGTATATATTATAACTTGTATTCAACAATGATTGAAGCGTATGTATTATAACTGATATTCAACAATGATTCAAGCGTATATATTATAACTTGTATTCAACAATGATTGAAGCGTACATATTATAACTTGTATTCAACAATGATTGAAGCGTACATATTGTAACTTGTATTCAACAATGATAGAAGCGTATATATATTATAACTTGTATTCAAAAATGATTGAAGTGTATATACTATAACTTGTATTCAACAATGACTAAAGTGTATATATTATAACTTGTATTCAACAATGATATTCCACGCAATTGCTCATCGTATATTTTCTTCTCTCTACCTTTCAAAATTGAACATATTGTTTACATTTTCTACTCTTCTAGACAACCTTCTCCTCTACAAATTCTGTTTAATATTTTTGTCAAACCTTCAATAAGCTATTCTGGTGCATATATACATAGTTCATTCAGCTTACTTTCGCAAATGATCAGTTGGTAAAGCTGGCCTTACATTTTATATTTCATAACATTTCACTTCAATATGAAGTATGATTACAACGAAAATCATACTTCAGATCAAAATGTTGATAATAATCTCAGACCCTACTCTTCTAAAATAGCTATTTCCAGTGTATTCGTTTCCTTATTAGTGTTTAGAGTCATTTGAAGGAGTACGACATGATGTCAAGAACATCTTACAAAGGCTCGATGGATTTAAGTCTAGGGAATATGTAGCCTACTCAATTCAGTTCATTCTATCTGTTTCAAGGTGTGTTTTCACCAGTTTAACACGATGAAGGCACAAAGGGTTGTAGTAAGTAGTTAACACAATGTGTGACATTAATAGTACCATTTTGCAGAATTAATAAGTTGGTTTGGCCACTAATATCTATCCCTGCCAAGACTGTACTTTCACCACTGCTACACGTGTCATGTTCCTGCATGAAAATAGGACTGACTCTGGTTCTAGATTACGTACGTGGTGAAGTGGTTGGCTGACCACTAATGTCTATTCCAGCCCAAACCTTACTTCTACCAGTGCAATGTCTGTCGTGTTCCGGCACGAAAATGGAACTGGATCTGGTTCTAGATTACGTTCAAGTGAACATATTCCTGTTATCTGGCTGCATGGTGAAGAGGTTGGCTGGACCACTAACGTCACGAAGACTTATCTATAAAACTATATTGCTCAATATATCATTGGTCCACTGGATATGTTCTTGGTATCGTTGGAGGTGAGTTGGTTCATACTTTAAGAGGAAAGAATCCCATTGGACATCTAGCTTACTAGCAAGAACTATGTTTCTAACCATCTATACGCTAATACGATGTCCACTTGTGATTTTGAATATCCCATTCAACCTTGGAGCAGATACACCGAGATCATTGTGAGCCAGAATAAAAAAAAATAGCAGTCGTTCGTCTGCTCGAGGTGTGTACGATGGCATGCCTTGTTGACGTGCCTGGACTATTATACCATTGGTTTAAAAGCCGTTCCATTCTTCTTTTAGGTCGAGGTTGTAGACATAGTTTGTGAACAACATGGGCCACTTTATATACCATGATGTACTGAAATAACTAAAACAATATTCTGTGAGGATTCTATATATTATCACAGAATTAATGACCAGTCATTTGCATTTCAGATCACATGGCTGATCACCAAAAACCCGATTTGCATAACAATGAACTGAGACTGGGGATGATTGTCATTATTTAAGCCACTCGTTTGCCTTGTCATAGTTATAGTATTATAAGCTCCTATTATCCCTTAATTGACTTGCACAATGTAGTTCGTTCCTCCTAATAATGTTATAGAGAACAACGTTCTAGAATACATAATGAGTATTCCTGATCAATATTTTCTAGAATCCAACTGATTTGGCTATAGGACACGATGTAGGAACTTCAGTCTATAATTTTCCAAAGCACTGTGTGAGTGTTCCAAATGATTATGTTTCAGAGTACCCTAAGCTCTACAAGCTATAGAAGACTATGTTTATGAAAAATACTACTAAGAACCTACATGTAAATTGGAGGAGGAAATCCTTGTGCAGCGCAGGGAAGAACCACATCTTGACCAATCTCAATGCCCACTCGAGTTTGACTGTGGTTGATTCTTGGCGGCCTGTTACTTTTGTCATCTGGAAACACAGAAAGAGATATTTATCTTGTACAGTTACCGTGTTTTGTGTACTGGCTGTCTTAGAATAAATTTAAATAAAACTTTCAAATATATTTTTCGCCATTTGTTTCTGTTTGTAGCCACCAGGATTCCAAGCACATGCAACACGTAAAATTGCATGGGACTCTAAGACAGAGAGGGGACTCAGTTACATTTGTGTTTGGATTAACCTGACAACAAATTAATCTCTAGAGTTTTACTGTACTAAATGTAACACATTCAAGTCTAACTGTGTATAATGTCAATTCTAGCTTTCTAGCATTCTAAAAATCCCTGAGAATATGATTTTTGCGATTGTAATACATTCAGTTATCAATACATAGGGTACAAATTCGGTGACGAGGAACCCACTTTGAGACTAACAATGGTTGGAGACGGCTTGAATGGGTAATGAAGAAAACTTTAATATAAATGTAAGATAACAGCAAATGTACAACGTTTCAACAAAGGGGAGGGGTACGTACTTATATTTATCACTGTTATTATTGACCTTATGGGTAACTTATGTATATGGATTTTGATACTCTGCCTCTTTGCTATCCATTGGAACCACACCTGTACTTGTATCGAATATATCCCTCATGGTACAATGAAACTAAGACAACACAAAGATATTCGGTAAGTAACTTATATTATTAAAATACATCTGTGGAACATACCTGACACGTTTGAAACATAAAACTTTTGGAGCATAACTAATACTACTTAAACACAACATTATTTAGAACTAAATGGAACCCATAAAATAAGAGATAACTAAAAAAAACAAGAACAAATTCTTTCAGTTTGTACCTGATACCACTAACTTGCCAAACGATCTACTGGATTTCACTTCTCCCCTCATGCTATTTCTTGTAGTACAACTGTAAGTAGTGAATCCATCTTTAGCACAAGCATTTTGGATGTGTAGCTCCCCCGTTGGAAAGACCAGGTAGCGTCCTCCTGTGGCAAATTGGGGCATTATATTAATCAGAAACAAAAAACATACGTAACAAAATAACTATATATAGAAGAAAAAACATCATTCATAAGCAATGTTATAGCAATGATAATAAGTTAATTAATCAATAATGCACGTATTACGAAACCAAATGTTTAATTGATATTAATTTGAAACATGTTTGTTATCCCTCAGTAACTCCTCACCTCTTGGTTATTTTCAGTTTGATGATAAAGAGGGGTTGTACTTAATACAAAGTTAAGCTATTTTGTCTAGTAATGTTTTTAATATAATATATATCATGGCTGAGAATAATATGAAAATTGGATAAACTTCAGTCGAATACTTCATCTAATTTTATAAACAGACACGAACTAGAATAAAATTCTGTAGAAAATTCACCCTAGTGTGTAAACAACAGTTACATTTTTATATCATTTTTTTATAAACATGAAAATATTTTAATAAAATAAATTCCTAAATTAATCACATTTAAAAAACACCGTAAATAATATTTTAGTGATGATGCTAATTTTTAGATTGAAATATGTCATAAATGTAGACTCCTGTACTTACACACAAAATAGAGCCTTATGACTAAAATTAAGTTTTGAAAATAACGATTAAATTATTTTTCCCGATGAATGTTGCAGTACCTGTCTCAAAATCAGATATAATCTTCAGATTGTCCCCTCTCTTCCATGATGTCACTGTGACGTAATCCTTAACGAAACTCGGAATGTTACACCTCAATACTGCTATGTTACCTTGAATTGAATATCCATTTACAACCTGAACATTGTAATCCTGGTGAACCACTGAAGAAAAAGAAATCGTAAAGTTTAGTTAACAAAAAACTCGAATTTCACATGGCTGAATTTTGTGAAAACACTGCCCTACCAAAACTATCCAGACAGCTCTTTAATAAATGAAATGGACTAGGAATTAAATTAATTTAGGAGAAAACAGATTATAGGCTTCTAGAAATTTAGAATACTTGTATATCAACTAGTCAAAATACATAACGCCATATAACAGTATCGGAAATTCGAAAAATCCATTATTACGGTAGAACAATTCACTATTAAAATTATCAAAAAGTGCCATGATTCATCTTTAAAACAAATTCACGGTGAAATTACTCTATCCAGTTTTGCCACAGGTGAATGGACACCACCTGTTAGATCTTTGCAACGTGCTTTCCTTGAAATCAAGTACTTTGAAATGGGTGAAACAAATATACATCGCCTCCAAGAATGGTTGGTACGATTTTGTTTTATGTAAAAAGCGCGAACCATCAACAGTGAAATTTCGAAAGTTGGTTTCAAATCTTCCAGAGTAATGAGAGCCATTTCAAAGTTATGGGTAAACGGGAGTCTGAGGCAGACAGGTGAATAATTTGATCGTGATTGTGCAGTGTTGGCTACGGACTGTAGTGGTGGTGAGGATTTTGGCGTGAGTGTGTTGTATTTTGTGGATTGAGAGGGGATATATCCCTGAAATACTTAAACATATAAGTGGTAATGAATATCAATAGAATGGAAATTACCAGGCTTCAGAAATCACAACACAGTTTTTATCCAGCGAGAGCTCTTTCAGAATAGAAATGCTCATTGTGAGTCACAAAGCACGTGCGTCCCATGTCTAGTTTCAAGGTATCAAAAAATGTCTTGGAATAGCCCACTCAGAACTCAGACCTAAAGAGTCTTTTTTTCACAACTATTTGAAGGGGTTTGGTTACAGCTTATTACTAGTAATCTATTAACCAAGTGTTTGGAACAGTGAAGAACACAAACTCTCTACGTCATCTTATACGAAGGGTTCATGTAAATTATATTAAAACGAGTTTGGATATGCAAATCAGGACGTCACGTAAAATCGTAGCCGATATAAACTCGCAATGGAACGCAATCAGAACTACATTTTGATATTGTTTGGAATTACGTATATTGGAAGAGTGATGCCACTGCATCATAACGCAAAATATTTATACACTCAGATCATAAAGACTTCTTTGATATTGGGGATTTAGAATTTCTAAGAAGGAAATACCCTTTATATCTAACGGCATTGGAAAATATAGGAATAAGGATCAACTTGAGGACCCTGGACTATCCAGAAGAAGACCTGCAACAAGTCGTACTTCAACCATGGGAAGCAAAGTGACATCTTGTCATAGGTGAGAATCCACGGGTGCAAAAGGCAGTGCCAAAATTATCCAATGCCCCATAATCAAGAAGAATGTCTGCCTGGAATAGTGAAAAAAGTGAAACAAGTTACTTCCATGGCATATTAGTTCAACCGTTGCATAGCTCAAGCAGCTGAAGAATAAAAAGGTTATTCATGTTATTCCACATGGAAACATAACAGTCAAGTTGCTGAACGCAGCATCTATGATTTTCTGTGTGATTGGACTATTGAAATGGGAACTGGAAAACCTCTGTCCTCGTACACTAGGTGTATTATGGAAAATAGGCAGAGGTAAGAGATGTGCTTTGGACATGAAAGCATTAGGACGTAGCCTTTGGCGATGTAAACAAAATTACACTGCAAGGCTATTGTTAAGGTGCACGCCGTCAGATACAGCCTGACCTAACGTAGCAACATATTCAGTAACGACGTGGAGATGCTCCAAAATCGTTTTAATATAACTACCCAACCTCTGTAAAGCAGAAGCAGTTATTCAAGGGAAAGATGATCTTGCTGTGATGACTAAGATTATTGTTTGATTGTTTTCTATATTCGCGCAAAGCTGCACAAGGGATATCTGCGTAAAATAAACACTAATTTTGAAGTTAAAGACAAGAGAGAGAAGGCAGCTAGTTAGTAGCACCAACATGTAACTCTTACAGGCTATTCTAATCTGAACGAATAGTAAGATTTGACCCTTACCCACAGCCGCAAAATGCGTAACGGAACTCAAACCATAAACTATTGGATTCACAAACCAGGTAAGCTATCCATTGTTTCTCAAAGTAAAGACAATAAAACTCTGCTTGACATGAGGTCCTAGTCATTGTGTATTCTTGGATTTTTACACACAGTATACGTTTTCCGGGATATGTTATTCATATAAATTTATGACCTTGACTCAAAATCTAGATACTAAGTTGACGGAATGAATTCATCTCGTACACCTGCCTGTCAACTTGTTAGAGAAGATTAATGAATGCTCTTCTAATGTTCTAATTAATCATAGTCTTCATAAAAGTCTGCTTAGCACAAGTATGCTAATCACTAAGTATAATACCTCCTGTTTCTCCATATCTATCTATATATTACTAACTGGTATATGTGTATCTGTCTGTCTGTCTATTTAATATATGTATAAATCGCAAAGCTGGTGGTTATAACTTGGAATATTCAACTAGTTATGTTTACGTTGATTAAGAGGTGTAGGAGGGAGCATGTGGATGCAGAAATAGTAAGATATTTAAAAGTGAACTACGCTACTTTTCATTTATCAGTGCTAGAGTTGATAGTGTGTTCTCTTTCAGTAGAAACATAATATTTTGTTCTTGCACGCTACAGCATGGTTTTTGGTAATATCTCCCAAACAATGGATCAACGTGCTATAGAAAAGAATCGTTTCATGACAGTTTTAGTTGTCATGGTAACAAACGTAGGATAGACTTTCTGAAGAACTTCGCAATACGTGAATAAGATCTATTGTTTATCTGTCACGAATTAAAACCGATTAAAAAGACAGAAAAATTTACCCACATGTGTTGTTAAACATACATTCTGTGGCTCTAATACAAATTAACAATACAGTTTCACTTACACAGATTACTCTTTAGTTTACTCGGCAGTCATTACACCGGAAAATATTCTGCATAAAATATATTTCATAATTTACTGATTGCCTACAGCTATGATACCAATTACATTGATTAAAATAAGGCTATCACGAGTGTAGGATGAAATAATGTGTGTGCAATATTGTATGTAAGCTAAACAGTAACTTCTGAATAATACTACATCCGTTTTTTTTATCATGCTGTTATGACATCTGAACTTGTCAATTACTTCTGCCACTATTTTTATGGTAAACAATTTACATTCAAAGTTTCTCATACTTTATTGAAATGACTCACAAACTTGAAAAAATAGGAAGATATGATTGCACATTAAATAAAAAGGAAGATACGATTGCACATTAAATAACAAAAAAGGAAGATATGATTGCACATTAAATAACAAAAAAGGAAGATATGATTGCACATTAAATAACAAAAGGAAGATATGATTGCACATTAAATAACAAAAAGGAAGATATGATTGCACATTAAATAACAAAAGGAAGATATGATTGCACATTAAATAACAAAAAGGAAGATACGATTGCACATTAAATAACAAAAAAGGAAGATACGATTGCACATTAAATAACAAAAAGGAAGATATGATTGCATGTTAAATAACAAACAAAGGAAGATATGATTGTATGTTAAATAACAAACAAAGGAAGATATGATTGCACATTAAATACCAGTTTTACAATTCTTAACTGTTATAATGTTTAATCTTATATCATACAATATAGGAATCTGATATTATTACTACTTTATACATGTAATCTCTCCCCTATTTGCATGGTGCTAAAGCAGAAAGAAAGACTAAATTTAGGAGAGTACGCAGAACGAGAAAAAAAGGATCACAAGCATATTCTTTTTCATTAATAGAGCAAATGTTCATTAGTATTAAAAAGCTTTAATTTTCCATATTATACTACATATGTAATTAATGAAAGGGAAAATATTCAGGCTAGCTTTAACCGAATACGAACATTAATCCAATAGAACGCACACACTAATACGTCAATTGTCCGATGTCTAATCTAATGACTTCCATGGTTTTGTCTGCTACTAGATGCTAATAGGAGGATTAATTAAGAAACCTGTCACGAGACGTTGTTATGAGTAGAAATATTAATGAGACTACTCAATACAGGAGACAACTTCAAGATTTATCTCATAGTTTAAAAAATTAAACTCATAATGTTTATGTTACCTTCACAGTTGAACTAAGTGTTCAGAAGCCTGGTAATGATATCATTGTTAGAGTTATGCCATTAATCTACGTTTAAATATAAAAACCAATTCTAAGGTGAGCCTGAAGTTTAGCTATTCAGTGCTGGAGTCAGTTCCGAGTTTTAAAATAATACTTAACTATCAAATGAAGCGAATTCTTTAAATTCTGGAGGTGGGTACACAACTCGGCAAACAGTTTGAATAATCTTAATAAGATTAAGGAAACGTTCTGGAAATTTCAAGGGTTAATTTAGAAATATATCAAACTTTGAAATTGACTTCGAATTTGTTACTTCCTTTACTGTATATATTTAAATTACCAAAATACGTATATATTTGTATTACATAGAGAGAGGCAGTTTAACTACTACCAACTACGTAATAGCTACTAAAAACAGCAGGAATTGACAGCAACATCTCCAAGAGATCGTTGCACAGCAAACCACACATTATTCCCATGTGCTTTATGATACAGCTGAATGACAAATTGATGTTCAGACCACTGACCGTGAAACATCGAGATAAGATGGATGTAACTGATTTATTGATTAACTTTAATCCTGGGTAAACCCAAAACCTTGATTTATTAATCACGCAATGGCATTATCACACGTAAAATTAACTTTGTTTTTATTATGTTTTGTATTGCATTATATTTTGAAACCTTAAATTATATGCATAGAATTATAACTTAGTAAACTTTACAGTGCAGATAAAGTTCAAATGTTAGTGACAGGTATGAACAGTACCACCGTTAATTATAAGTTTCAACAATTAGCTGCGAT